TGCGCTGCGGAGGTGGCGGCGGTTACTGAAGCGCTACCGTGTTTCAGGCTGCGGGGGCCGTAAAGCCCGGCCCGTGTCCTCGGCCGGCCGCCTGCTGGGCTGGCCTACTTGGGGATCGAGCGGGGTGACTGGCAAATCCTGTGCTCCCCGGCTTCCCTCACCGTGCAGCTTGCCATTTCAACGTTCCTGTTTCGTAGGAGTCCGAAGGGGAAGAACGCGTCGGGCATAACTGCTCTAGCATAATTTCGCCAACACCTTGCATCCGTTTTGCTAAACCACTAGAAGACGAGTCACACCTGCCCCTCCTTTGGACCTTGCAGGACCAAATGGCTTGCTTTCACCTCTCTGCCGCCACAGGACCCCTCAACCAGTAAAAACAGCTTTTTCACCAAGTACCCTGCCACCAAAACTTCCCTTCAGTCTGGTGAATAGACATGAAAGCATCCTCACTGTTCTCACAAAAACACCACCATCGCATTTTACTTCTCCGGCTTTTCTCCGCGTATCTATAAGCACGCACATTTACTTAGTCCTTGCCAGCTGTCAGGTACAAAAGACTGACTTTTTCTTACTTCGGAGAAATCAAATACCAAGTAATTGTTTCCCGGTATCAAGTTTGACGGGGACAGACGTTTACAAGTGCGCACAGATCTGTTTAGCCAGCTGCCTGTACAAACAAGTGTAACAAGTCACAGGTAATTGTTTACACGCAGTGTTTATTGCAAATTACTGTCACTTCCTCAGGATGTTTGCATGTTTTATAACAAAGCTGCAGTGGATTGTTTTCTAGCAAGGGTATACACTGATGATGTGCTTTCCTAAGTGCTTAGCTTGTCCCATCAACTAAGGAAATTCTGTAGTTTCATATTTAAAAGATTACTTATTTTACAAATTTACACTTTACTTCCATAGGCAGCAGTGATGGTTTCCATAGGCAGCAAACGAGAGATTACTTATAAATGCTCAAGGATCCAGAAGGCTCTTAACTATTTTCAGCGTTGAGCATCTTTTTTTAAACGGAGAAAAAGCAGATGGACAGAACGTTTGACAGCCATAAAAATAACGCTCCTTATTATTAAATAAAATAAAAATGAAAAGCCTGTTTCTTTCCAGTCTTCTTAACTCAAGGACTCCAAAATCTGTGAGACGGAAAATAACTGTATCCATTCACCAGACAGGGGCAGGGCAGGTCAGAGATGAGGGAAAGACATGCCAACGTAGAGGATTACTGTTGCTGAAGTCCAACAGTGAGGGGCGTAAATGCAAAGATAGGAGGAGGGCGGTTGGGTTGATTACTGTTGCTGAAGTCCAACAGTGAGGGGCGTAAACACTGAAATGCAAAGATAGGAGGAGGGCAGTTGGGTTGTGCTTGGATTTTACCTGTTCGTCGTGTTGTTTATTCTCCTGACTTACATTATCCCCTTTTTTCTCCCTCCCCCTTCCCACCCCATCTGCTTAAACTCTGATTGCGTTTCTGCCCACGATCACTATACTGTACTGAACGTCCATGTACTGACTAAGGAGAAAAAGGAAAACAAGTTATCTTCAGGTTTATGTTCCTCTATAGCAAAAGTTTTCTCAAAGCAAGATTCCACGCAGATCTAGCTTTATTTTTTAATGTTAAGCTGGAAGCTCTAATTAAAAATGTTTAAAATGCATTTCAGAATAAGCATGATACTTTCCGGGGGCAGGGGGAGAACGAGGTGCGTTTCTGGGAGACCGAGCGTGCGCTGGTGTTTCAAGCCTCCCATGAATCCTGTGGAATGGTCCGACACCTTGAGGGCTATTGCTTTTTTACTGTTTTAGAAAACATTAAAGAGCGAACTACAGGGAACGATAATAATGATAACAACGATAAAAAAGTTACACTGATGTACCTTAAAGCACGCATGCACCAACAGCGCAGCCCCCCTGGGAACACAGAATCTATGCAATAGCGTGCTCGTGTGGCAACAAGCAATGCACACAAGATTCGTATGAATCTACTTACTCCACGGAAGTATTTCTTCAGAATAACTTAATCAGATCTAAATTGAAGTGTTATCTATCTGCATAACTCCTTTCATTCCATAAAACCTTGAAACATATGCAGAATTACAGTAAACTCCACCTCTGGGGGAGAGACCAACCATCTACCTACCCCTTTACAGCAGCTTAACAAAAGCAGGAAGGGAGGATGTATTACAGGCAAATACAGGACTCGTTGCAGGAGGGGTGTAATTCTCAGTCCTTTTAGTTTCTCCCTGTTATAATTTCCCATTTGTGACAGAGGGAAAACAACTTCCTTCCTCCAACCTTTATTTAATTAACGTGTAAGGTCTTTGGGGCAGTGAGCTTACTGTGTGTGTATACACAGCACCTGGCATGAGGAGGTCATGAATTAATCTGAGGCCTTTAAATGCTACTCTAAATACAAAGCATTAGCAATAATAAGAATAGGGCATCCTTTTCATTTAGAATAGGTGGGACCTCTCTTTTCAATGTATCTTCACAAAGAATAAATTGCGTGCATCTCGGGGAATAACTAAATTAAGGGTCAAGGAAAAGTATTTCATACGAGAGACTTGCAGCTCCACTCTATCCCAGTTGCTTACACTTAAGGACCCTGCTGCCTACTGTTACAGCATTTCCTGTAAAATTCTTATTTGCCATAATCTTACAAAATAATGTCCCAAATCCCACAGGCCAGATCATCAATAAGATTAGGAGTATAGTTGATTCTGAGACAGTGCATGTGATTACTGTGATAACCTACCCAAATTAACCTTTTGCATGTGCAATAAACTGCAATTAGCAACCTGCAGACAAATGGCAAGTTCCTTCGTTTCCTGTCATACGTAGCACTAGACCAGGCAGATTTCCTATTGAATCCCATATTAACCTACATTCAGTGGCAGTGAAATCTCAGAGCACCGTGTCAGAATTTATCATCTTTCAATGACGTTAGCTCCACCTCTTGACAATTCTAGACAAGATGTGTATAAACAACTCATCCAGAGTCTGAACAACTGCAGCTGAAAATATTTATTATTTTTCCACCAGTTGTTCCAACCACTTTGGATGCTTTATACTACGGGATGGGCAGAGCTCTCAAAACAGTACGGTTGTTAATAAACGACAAGAAATAAAATGGAGATGGACTGGTGAGTGGCTCTGTGATACCTCTCTGAGGCGGAAGGAGGCTCAGGGGTAGGGAAGCTGCAGAAGTGCCTCTTTCCCTCGTGACACGGAATGTCGCATCAAAAAATACAAACGGGGAGATGATGTTGATGATTTTCCCCACATGCGCTTTCATCCCCGTAATTCTACACCTCTCCCTGTTATAGAATTCATTTGCAAAATTTTTGGTTTTAAAACAAAGATCTTCTGGGACAGCTTCTCAGAAGCAATTTTGCCACAAACCTTCGACAGTCACAATCAGTCCCTGAAGATGTTGATACAGTACTGTAAACTTTTAGCAGTTGCTAATGGCTTTGTTAAACTAAAATGCTTGTTTCCAGTATATTAAAACGCAAAAGATTTTTGTAATAGGCATCACATACTGTACTTTCTTCATATGCGTTTGCTATTAGTTTGACATGAGCGATGTGTGCGCACATGTGTAGGGGATGAACTGCCTTATAAGAATGCAGTTTTGTTTAACAAGACTGATGGAAGGCAATTCAAAAAGCATAAAGATGCCTTTATAATAAATCAGAACCAACGAGCCAGATCGCCCGCCCGCGTTAAAACTCTCCACCTGGATTGTGAGTGGCCTCCTTCATTTATTGTTCCATTCTGCCTCTCGCTTACGAACAAGGGTTATCGCACGGTATATCTGAATTAAATGGCATTTAACAACCGTGCCGACCAGAGTTCAAAAAGGGAAATCACTTCTGCCTTTCCTTCGCTCTCACATTACGTGTTTGGAGCCCAGCCTGCCAGGCTGCTCCTGTGTGCAGCGCTCTCAGTGGAGTGCTCCTCTCTGCGCGGCTGCGGGATTGGAGCTCTTTGTTACCATGGCCCTTGGGCCAGTATTCGGTTTGTGATGCAGCCCTGGCGTCTCAAGCCTGTAAAGCACCTATCACACTTGTGGGCACTGTCTATTAAACAGTGGGTTGATTAAAAAAAAAAAAAAAAAAAGATGATTTATATCTGTGTGTTTAGACTGAGCTAGATAACTCACAGATCTGTGAGGTAGCTCATAACCTTGAGTCTTTTCATCCGTGTTTTGATGATTTACTTCTGTGTGTTTAGACTGAGCTAGATAACTCACAGATCTGTGAGGTAGCTCATAACCTTGAGTCTTTTTTCATCAGTTTTAATCTTTGAAATAGTAAATTATAATTAAAATTTAATTTAATGTTAATCTCTGAAATAATTATAATTACGGTCATAAAACATGTACAACCTTTGCTTCCTCTCTCCTCCATCCCTCCCCCCTACTCAGTGCTGCTACAAGAAGGAAGAGAAAATAATTGTCCCTTTAATGCTAATTGTTTATAAACTCCTTTGTACAGAGACTATGTTTATATACAATGCCTATGCAAAATCTAGGCACAAATGCAATACTCATAATAAATGAATGAATAATATATCCCTGACCATAATCCCAGTGCTCTCCAATAAAAGAATACCGGTATTAATTCCTGTCACAGAATTGCCTTGTAGGTTGAAGTTCAGCTTATAAATACACATGGGAAAAGATTAGATTTAAATTGATAAGTATTAATCATCATTCATTTCTGTCTCTGCAGGCAGCACAATGCTAAAACATCTAGTTAATATACTGTATAATGGATAACCTTGAGGCAGAAGCTCTTGCATCTGTCTCTATCCAAGAAAAAATGTCAACATCAGCCTTTGTTGTAGCAAAATACCCGGACCTCTGAATGGAGTCGCTGCTGCTGGAAAATTGACTGTCTCCAGCGCAACCCTTCCTAACCTGGGTCCGGTGCCTAACCTAGAGATGAGGCCAAATTCAAAATCTTTATTTGCGCACACCTGTACTTAGGAGCGTTTGAAATCCGGTCTGGGTCAGACCGCCGTGTTTGTGGTGCATCTCCACTCTGAACAAACACATTTCTCGCGCGATGCTCTCACTGCAACCACAAAGCATTAGCACTCACAAGAGCATCATTGAAGATACTCGGGCTGTTCATTGAGAACAAAGCCATTAATGATTAATACTATGGCAGGAGAAAATGTAGCAGTATTTCTTGGCAGCTGAAATGTGGGAATGTCTGTCCTACACGCAAAAGACTCAGGAATACCTTTAGCTCTTCTTACGTAAGACGGTTCTTACTAACTCTGTGGGAAGAAGAATCAAACAAATCCCCCAAATTAAAGGAAAGTGAAGGAGATTTTCACATCTAAAACTCGATATATACAATACATCTCTCTCTGACTGACCCAGCAGATGCGGAGATGCATTTACGTATCACAGACATTACTGTCCCAGCAGATGCTGCAAAGTTGTCACTGACACAGACGCTTACTGTCCCTGCAGATCTGTATTTTGGGAGAGAATTTTCGTACCACAGACACTACTGTCCCTACAGAACCACATCTGCTGGCAGAGTTATTGTTTCATGTACTCTTCTGCCTCCAGCAGATGTGAGAGACTGCCAGGACGACAGGCATTTCTGTCACAGCAAATCTCCATCCACAGGGAATTAAATTGCAGCTTAAACTACTGTTCTTCCTGAGCCCTTAGTGTGGACAATACTGACAGGGAGGAAGCAACATAAACCAATGAAAATACAGTGCTGGGCACCTAGAACATCCCCATTAACTCTGCCTAAATACGGCGCCCAGCAGTGCTGCGTTTGGGGATGAGTCAGGAGGAGAAAAAGAATTACTTGCGACCTCCTCCCACCCCGCCTTTAACAAGTATTCGTTCTGAGAAGCGTTCGAAGGAAAAAGTGTCTGATGCCACTCTCATATAATAGATGCAGGAAAGCGCAAGTCATTCATGACTACCAAGTTGACAGCCTTAGTGCCCTGCTATGGGGACCAAGCGCGTGTGCTAGGTAATTTTCAGCTTGCTTTTGAACAGATGCCTCCAGTTTTACTGGAGGCAAGTTTCAGAGTTTCCAGTTTATTAACACCAGAAGATTTGATCCCCAGTTCTAGAGGCCCAAGAGCAGAAATAAAGGGGAGGGGTTCGGTTTTTAACCCCTTTAATTTGGACCTTCATCTTTTGAGACTCCGTATCATCTCTCAGATTCAGGGTTGAACAGCAGCAGCAGTCTCTGGGAGTTTCGCTCCTGTGCAGCTGCACTGCCAAGCAGCACCTTTCCAAACAGGAGGAAGAACATCTTGGGCCTGTGCTAAGACATGACTACGGTTAGACTTTCCCTCTGGAGTGAACTCGGCCTAAGGCCCATACCAGAGCATGTACTTACATATAAATAATATGTATGGTATGTGAGCCTGGACTTGAGAGCTGTCTTGGGCCTTTGTTTGCCTGACTGAGTAGATGTATCCTTCATGATTTGGTACCGGAGAGAGAAAACCTCCCCTGGTAATTCTGCAGTAATGCAAACCCTACTTGAAGAAACACCATCTAACTTTGGAATTCCCCTGTGGGGAGTCTGGGCATTTATCTTTATCTGAAGCATCAAGAGCTGTCCATTGGCAAAGGCAGGACACACAAGTTCCCAGAGTAAAAATCTGATACAGCACAGCAAAACCTATATCCTTGGAGCAGATTGTGGGAAAGCATCGAGATTTTGGTTGCTCTGCCAAAGCAAACAAGATGTTTCAAGCCCCATCGTCTGCTCTGCAGTTCACACCCTTCCAGTGCTATCTTTTTCAGATGCCATGCCACACTGGTTAGTGGCAATGGTGGTGTCATGTGTGACTCATTCCATTTTACTGGAAATTAGGAAACCACATGCTGCACTGAAGAACTGCTTATTTATGTAGTCATATCGTCCCAGAGAGCACTCCTCCTGCCATTATTTGTATACAGATTCTTTCATCTAGAATTATGGAAGTACAGCTCTTAACCAGGGTTCATTCAGAGGACAGATTAATCAATAGCACATTGCTCTTTCCAGGGCCCGTTGAGCCCTTCGGAGTTTCCAGTGCCACCCTGAAAAAGCAAATGGTGTTTTAGAAGAGAGTATCTTCGTCATTACAGGATGTGTGGGAAGCAAAACAGAACAGATAGCAGTGGAATTGGAATTATGTTAGCAGAAGAGTCTGTCACGTATTTATTTGAGCTTTGGGCAGGTGAATTTCTCCCACAAGGAAAAACAGAGACTACTTTTGCCTGTTTTTTTTATGGAGTGCCTTTATAAAGCCTCGTCAAATATTTCCTGAACAGATCACAACGCTACATTTACCTGAGTGATTAATGCTGAGTATGAGTGATGAACTGGCATGTTCAGGACAACAAAGAAATGCTAAAAGATGTCAACAGTGCATTCTTTCTGAGGAATAAGAATTACCAGATAAAAACATTAATGGTTTTAAATAATATCGTATGGCGACAACAAATCAAGCTGGCTAAACTTTGTTTCGAGTTCTGAAGCACAGGTCTGGAATTACGCATGTTGCAAAGAACTTCTTTTCCTAGATTATGAATTTTTCTAGCCTTTATAAAATTAGTGTTACTAAAGCAGCAGCACTAGGATCAAAAGTTAGATTTGATTGTGTGTTGACAGGCAAAGGCTGACCTCTACAAATTCCTAAACTACGAGATTGCCTTACCCTCTACAGATACAGATAAATCCAGTCTTATCTTTAGATGAAGAAACTGTTAAGATTCAGGCACCACACATTTATGAAGAAAGAAAATAGAAATGTGAGCTATTCTTTTTTAAAGGTTAGCATAGCTTAAACATGCCTGAAAGTATTTATTGCCATAACAGACTAGACCTACTGAAATGTTCTCGCCTAGGATTTGGTCTTTGACATTCTCAGCAATCCCGTTGACTTCAGCTGGATCACATGGCTGCCACGGAAAGCAGAATTTAGGAAAGAAAAGGAAAAGACACAAAGTAGTTAAAGACCATTTGGAAAAAGACGTTTGCTTTCAACATTACTGACTATCCCTCAGGACCCAAATTAGAGTTCTGCTATATTTTAAAGCATTGCTTTCAAGCTTGCTGGAAGTGTCAGACAATTTGAATAGATCTCCATTTTAATTTCCAATCTAGCAATATGGAACAGCTGCCATAACTTTGTGCAACGTGGCAAATTTGACATCCTCATTCCTCAAATGGCAATCATCGAGAAGGGACTCTGAAAAAAGCATAATATGCTTCCACTTTTACTGCCTTTTAGTAACTCCCAGTCAAAACTGTA